AGGACAGGATTTATTGATACTGTAGTCAGTTAGAAACATAGCAAGTTAATAACATATAGGTTTTTAAACTTGTTTTAATGCTTGTGATTTTTGTTGGTATCCATTTTTTCCCTTGCTGCTTAATTTAAAGTGAGTTGAGTTATGCGTTTTCTCTCGGTAATATATGCGTATTCAGTTTAGTAATTATGTAAGTAGTCTCAAATAAATGCTTCGTGTATTTTCTTTATTCAAAATGGACTCATAAAAATGGAAATTAGGTTTTGAATATGAGATCTTTACCTCGATAGTGACGTCACACGTCTGACAAATTTGGGCAAGGTTTCGGCACTATAAAATTTAGTACTGCACACTGGATTTACCAACCTGTACTGATTATCACGTGGTGGTAAAAGTTAAAGCACTGGTGCCGGGTGTCTTTAAGAATAATTCCGTAATCTAAACAATTATTTAACAAAAGTCAAAGAGTGTGTGTTCGCTACAACTGGCAAACCGCTGAACCGATTGTAACCAAACCTGGCATGCACCTTTAGCCCCCCCCTCCCCCGAAGAGTGAAATTTGGTGGCCATTATTTGGATCTAGTTACCCTATGTCAGCTAGGGTGGTGGTGGTGGTGGCTACGTCTTCCTCATGTATTGGACAGGTAGCTTATTATATTTATGAACCTGTAGTAGTAAAGTGAACTTTACAGCAGTGTGTTTAAGAAGAATTCTGTGATTTACCAACCTGTAGTGGTTGTCATGTCGTGGTAAAAGTGGGTCTTGTTCTCTGGACATAGTCGCACTTGTTTTCCTACAAATATTCAGTCCCGATTTGTCTGCTCTGATACAAACCTGCCAATTAAAAAGTATAGCTCACTAATTTAGGTTTACGTTTCGGTTGTCGCCATATCAGTTGATATTCAACGAAACGGTGAATATGATGACTTCCTGGTAGTGCCCAAGTTAGAAAACAAAGTGCTAAAAATGAAAACTGATATTTTTTTTTTTTTACAGATAAGTTTCAAAATTATGCGACAAGAAAAAAAACGAGATCTTTTATAGAAGTAATTCAAGCAAGCCTCGTGTTCGTCTGAAGTTACAGACGGTTTCAGTTTGTATAGATTATACACAATCACATACAGAAAATGTAAGCTACTGTAAGGGTTAAAATAACATTAAGATATTTTCCGTGGTATCATTATAGCACTGGTAACATCAGTATGAACTTACCCGTCGTTTGTGAGATAGGATCGGCTATCTCGTAGCGGCATGGACATAGTAACACCAGTACCTCACAAAGACCGAATCTGGAATTAAAACAAGCTTTCTAAGCAAGATATTTTTATTCATAGATAAGCGTTATATAACTAAAGTTTGACAAGTACACCTATCAGTATCGGAAGTTAAATATATGATGGAATGCAGACTACTGGTGTTAAATTTTACATTGAATTTGAATATTCTCAAAAAAGTGGCCATTTCTGAGAAAACTAATTATAATTAATGAGTGCAAAAAAAAAGATATCATAATGAAGTGTCGTGGTTCATTATAGAATTATTCCAAAAGGATTCAAATTCCCCCTTCCATTAGCTCAAAATATCTAATAATAATTTATTTACAACTAGCTGGAGTACCCGTCCCCTGGACAGAAGTTACATAAATTCAGCATTAATGAAAGGTTATCTTAGAACATAAAAAGTTGCTTCCAATATATGTGTAATTGTAAAAAACGATCATAAAAACTGCAAAACACAAAATGAGAAACCGCAAATTTGCATGTTTCTTCGTATGTCCCCAAAAAACCTCCATACTAAATGTCATGAAGATCTATCTACAGGGGGCAAAGTAGTGGTAAAAAATGTCCATAAAAACCGCAAAACCCAAAACTGGGAATTTGTATGTACCCCCGCATGGACCTAATGAACCTTCATATCAATTTGGGTGAAGATCCATCTATACCCAGCGAAGTAGTTATATGGACATAGAACATGCAACAGACAGTACTATTATATAGGTGCCACCACCATTTCGGGCTGAGTATCGGAAGGTCCAAGTTTGGATTCAAGATATAACAGAGAATATGCTCCACACTTTCAGCTGTATGGACGATATAACTTTAACAGTGAATCCCACTATTCGATTAAGAGTACACACGTATACGGTGGGAGTTGCTGACTGGTTTCACTCCCCCTGGTAAGTTAGGGATGGGTATGACTTGGCCATTTGGCTCATGAAACGCTTGGGATGTGTTTGCATATTTAGTTGAAAGAGTTTGTTTGTTTATTTTTAATTATGCACAAAGCTACACAAGGGCTATCTGTGCTCTTCCCACCACTGGTATCGCAACCCGGTTTCTAGCGTTGTAAGTCTGCAGACATACCGCTGTGCCACTAGGGGGCTAGTTGAAAAAGTTTGGTTTCTCATCTAAAATATATTTCGTTTTATGTATTTCATTTTATAATTAGTAAATGTTATATTTGGCATTTGAACTCTATTAAACGTTTCGTTTGTGTTACAGAATCTTTGTTCGCCCACTCTAGATATTTCTGTTTTTATGACCTACCCTGTTGATGATTAATTTAGGGAATGGATTCTCAAAATCATTTTTCTTTGTTGCTCAAATTTCATTAGAGTTGATATGATCCTTTTTCTACAGTTTTTTTTTCTTTCTTTTTCGTCACGTTCACGCTTATTTCAAAGAAACTAAAGTTTATTTATATTATGTAAACGAGTCGATCTCGTACATATAAGTTATAACTCAGTTTACTTGAGTTTTCTAAGACAGCCGAGTGTTCTTGGCTTTGGGGTCTCTCGGTGGGACAGCGGTAAGTCTTCAGACGTAAAACGCTAAAATCCGAGATTCGGTTACTCGCATGAATACAGCACATTGTCCCCGTGGTTTTGCTCTAAAATAAACACTTAACCTTTGGAATACTGAGTCAGGTTAAATAAAGGCACCATTTTCATAAAAACCTGAAAATGTGTCGGAAAATGAGGTCAATGAAAAATTTAAAGTAAAATGTTTACAGAAGCTGTTTTATACAGCGAAGAAACCACAATAACTAGTTAATAAATAACAAAACATCAAAACCTGACGATATTCTACAACTAAGGATTTCAAAACGTTATTCTTTGGTTATTAAAACCTGACAATGGTCCACTTTTCTAGATTTGAAATGTTGTTGTTTGGTTATCAAAAATTAACGATAGTCTACTCCTATGGATTGAAACGTTCTTGTTTGGTTATTAAAGCCTGGCGATAGTTTACTTTTATGGATTTAAAACGTTGTTTGGTTATCAAAACCTAACAATGATCTACTTATATGGATTTAAAACGTTGTTATTTGGTTTATTAAAACGTGACAATGGTCTATTTCTGTGGATTGAATCGTTGTTGAGGATTATTTCTCATAAGAAAAAAAAAATCCTATTATGAAGATATTTACCTAATGTGATCCTCGCTCCGGAATTATTTATAGATTTTGTTTTACTCCAAACTCTTCCCTAATTTGAAGGCTTTATGGTGTACATTTAGGGTTTCGCTCTTTATAATACAGTGGTCCACAACTGATTACCCTTTGCACTGATTGCAGAAATTTTGTGTTTGTCATAACATAAATAAAGAATGATTTCCTTACATGTCCACAGATGGCAGCAGTAATAAAGCGTAAAGATGTACACAACGGCCTAGACTAGACGCACTTTATATTAATATTTTCTTTTAGTAAATGAAACCCCAACTGAACACACTTTATCTTTTCAAGAAAAATCAGTAAGAGATATTTCTAGTCTCTTTTATTATATGAATTATTGTACTTTCCCAATATGAGTGAACTACAAAATGTATATATATTTCTTTACGTATTATTTCTGTAATGTATTTAATTAAAACCCACAGAACACCAGACTTTTTAAAAACAAAACAACCTAAGGTGTATAAATGGGTGCAAAATGTTTCAAGAAAGTGATATCCTCAGCTGATGATTTTTTTTCTTAGCACCCAGATGTTTTTTTTATTTAATATTTTGAATATTTTCAACACATTTTACCCAAATTTTCGACTGAACGTGGCTTAGTGGTTAGTGAACCGAGTTGTGGATCGAAAAGCCACCATTTTCGAGCTGCTGTACATTTTGTACTTTTTAGCCTTGAGGGTGTTATCAATATGACAGTTATAATATTCAGTGTTTCCTGCCTCCTTGATTAATATATCATTTTTCAAATTTCTGTACATATTGTGTATTTAGTCATGATATAGAATGTCGGTCAAGGAAGCCACTAAAATCTTCTCGCCCTTGTTACCTACTTAACTGGATCATTCATCTTGGTTGTCACATGTACTTTCTCGTGGGAAAGCTTCCTGTAAAGTATACTGTATAGTAATTGACAGTGATCTCTTCCACTAGCAAGTCGGGTGATGCTCCAAGGGTACAATGGTAATTTTAATTTTTAGTAAGAGTGACCGTCAGTAACGTGGGAGGTACTCACGTTCGAAAAAGAATGACATTCTCTTTCTCTGATTGTTTTCCCACAATACATTTTTCTAGCAAGTTTCAGTTATTCATCGGTTCCTAGTCAGTTACTCTAATGTAAATCAGTGAAACTGAGAATACTACATAATAAATTCTACTACTCGAATAAAAGTAGCCATATAAACAGTGAGTTCTGTTGACTTGTTGCCCTCCCTCTGGTAAGTATTTCTAATTTGGTATTGTTATGACTGTATAAACCTGGCTGTTTATATTATGCGTAGTATAAAATGTGTTCAGGTTAAAAAAGACCAAGAACTTCTACAGTTCCTCCTCTTGAATAATATTCTCTATCTCACAAACTTCTCAATTTTTAAATTAATTACAACTTACTTGGTCTCTTACTACTTTTTCTGCTGTATTTTATAAACTTAACAATTACAACTTTGATCAATTGTTAATGATTCCTATTCCGGTTTGATTAATAGACGTCACCCGTTAAATGAAGGTATTTCGAGTAAATACAAAAGCTAGTACACGATCCTCTAGGCATGCATCCGAAAACCTTTTCAAAAATATATTGGACTAGGGATCTGTACACGTTTCAGTTAAGTTGTGTAATACATTGATGTAACGAATTAGATACCACTAGCACATAGTCGTTGTTCATTAGTATAAAGTTACTGTTCACTTGTATAAAATAATATCCATTCATATAAAGTTACTGTCCACTTGTATAAAATAATATCCATTCATATAAAGTTACTGTCCACTCGTATAAAATAATATTCATTCATATAAAGTTACTGTCCACTTGTATAAAATAATATCCATTCATATAAAGTTACTGTCCACTTGTATAAAATAATATTCATTCATATAAAGTTACTGTCCTCTTGTATAAAATAATATCCATTCATATAGTTACTGTCCACTTGTATAAAATAATATCCATTCATATAAAGTTACTGTCCTCTTGTATAAAATAATATCCATTCATATAAAGTTACTGTCCACTCGTATAAAATATTATCCACTAATACAAAGTTACTGTCCATTCATATAGAAATGTGATACGCCTCTCCCCCACACGGCCATGTAATAAGCTCGAAAGTTACAAGGAATGCATATTTATATACACAGCGTGGTCACAAGTAAATAGACACCATCTTTTCAGAAAAAAATTAAATTTTTCAGTCATATTCACATGAATTGATATATGTATAATTTAATTAATATCTAGTAGATCTTCCTTTCGCTTCGTGGAGTTCGTTGATCCTTTGGGGCATCGTGAGAATCATCTCGTCAATTTTAGATTGTGGGATTTTCGCCCATTCTTGCTTCAAAACTTGGATTAGATCGCTTTTCGAAGTTGTTTTTTTTTTTTTTTTTTTTTTTTTTTTTTTTTTTTTTTTTTT